TATATAAGCATTAAAAAAAATACTTATATAACCCATAATAATAGCCCAAGTATTTATTATATGTTCTTAATAACGTTAATATAATTAAATAAAAACTATATTAAAAATAGCGTAGGCGTAGCTCACTTACAGCAGGTTTTATAGAAAACCAGGCTTTGCTTGGAGCAGCGTTTCCGAGCCGAAAAGCTCTTCTTCTCGGAGCCGTCGAGCACTCTGGGGCTTCCGCCTCGTGCTAGGGAGGTTCCCTAGGCTTTTCGGGGGATTTCGGGGCTAGAGAGAGGTTCTAGAGAGAGAGTAAAGAGAAGAAAGAATGGGAAAGGTGTGAAGAAAATGAGGGTGGGAGAGGTGGTATTTATAGGGTGAAAATGGCTGAACTTGGTGCCACATGTCACCATCTAGTGGCAAGACTTGGGGAGAAAGCAATGGCCAAGATTGTGCCACATCACCCATTTTCGCACAACATACTTCCGACTTCTAAAATCCGTAACTTTCACATATGACCTCCGTTTTTGACGTTCTTTATATCCACGCGTAGGTAAAAATAATATCTACAACTTTTATTTTGACTCTGTCGGCTAATTCTCGACCGATCTTAAATTTAACAGTACGAGGCGTTTAGACTGTTAAATGACCGCGAAGAATTCGTAACTCCTTCATACGGACTCCGTTTTCGTCTGTCTTTTTACCGTTGAGTTCCTATTAATGAGATCTTCAACTCTCATTTATTTCACGTAAGCCAAAAACCGCTCGAACTAAAATTCGAGTTTCGGGCTGTACACTGCTAAGCCAAATCTTAGAAAAATCATAACTTCCTCATACGAAGTCAGATTTGGGCGTTCTTTTTATCGACGCTCTTAGTTTAACATATTCTACGACTTTTGTTTAGATTGCTAAGGCTAAAAAGTCTTATATCGTAAATTCACTATTTACGTCTTCCAGTGCCGTGCCGGTTTTGCCGTAAAACTTCGGCGGGCCATAACTTCTTCGTTATAACTCGGATTTCGGCGTTCTTTATATGTACGGAAACCTTGTGACATATTATAAAACTTGGTTAAGACTATTCATTCTAAATAATCTTTTGTCGAAAAGTCATTTTTGACCCCTATTGCCTCTAAATTGACTAGCTCGGATCTGCGGGCGTTACATCTTCAATTCTCTTTTAGGTTGTGTCGGATAAAAACCGCTCAATCTAATATTCGAATTTCGGACTGTACGCTGCTAATCCGAAACTTCGAAAAATCATAACTTCCTCATACGAAGTCAGATTTGGGCGTTCTTTTTATGGACGCTCTCGATTTAATGTATTCTACGACTTTCATTTAGATCACTAAGGCTAAATCTCGCTCTATCGTAAATTCACTATTTACGCTTCCCGGTGCCGTGCCGGTTCTGTCGAGAAACTTCGACATGTCATAACTTCTTCGTTATAACTCGGATTTCGGCGTTCTTTATATGTACGGAAACCTTGTGACATATTCTACAACTTTGTTAATGTTATTTATTCTAAATAACCTGTTGTCGAAAAGTCATTTTCGACACTTATTGCCTCTAATTTGACTAGCCCAAATCTGCGAGCGTTACAATTAGTGTTTTAAACAACTAATTATTGAATTGGGACCACCTTCGGGACTAGTAACACTTATTATGAAGTTTTACAACCATATAAGATTGTATATGAGTGATATATGACTATACAAGAGAGTGTATGGTCAAAATGCACAACAAATGTGTGTGTGCAGCCGCACACTCCTTTTGGAATGTGTCAAAACATGATTTTAAGCTATAAGGGACATCTAGGAAGGTTTCATTCTTCATGTCTTAGCCTTAAATGAAGTTTTTTGCCATTTTGGTACCTAAAAAGGGTGTATGCGGCCACCATGGAGATGTGTGCGGCCGCACACACTTGAAGATCATACGAAATGATGTTTTTCATGTATAATTTCAAGTGTTCTTAGCATATAACTAGTTGTGATAAGTGTATACACGTTATAAAGGCTTGAAAGGGGTGATTATGGTCCAAAACTTAGTGTGTGTTCTTGAAGATCTAACACCACAAATGTGTTTTTCATGGATCATAGTAGGGAAGAAGGCTAGTTAAGTTCAAGTATCAACAAATCAAAGGAAGTATTACTTACTTTTTATGAAGAACAAGATGAAGATGTGGATGATACTTGAGAGAAAACGTGTTCCAGTTTTGAAGGAGTAGGAAAAGGGTTTAAAAATGACTAAGGCTGACTTATATAGGTAGGAGTGTGTGGCTAGGGGGTGTGCGGCGCACACACCTTGCATGGTGTGTTTGACCTGTTTTTGTGATGTTACACACATTCTAACCCTTCCTAAGACTCCTATCTTGATTATACTAAGCCTAATACACTTATATAGACCAAAAACTACATTGTAAAATGCAAAACGAGGCTAAATTTGATAAGATAGAAGATGTAAAAGTTAGAAATTTCGGATTGTCACAACGTGCAACAAAATTATGAAGTAGGGACGGTCCGAGATAAAAAAATGTTAGGAATCAAACACGCAGATTATCCTAAACCATAAGGATCATCCATGTAATTTACCTTTTTTATTTATTTATATAGGATATTGATTAGACTAGTTTTTACTAACAAGAAATTAATAAAATTAATAATTGTATTTAAAAAATATTCATTTGATTTGGAACACAATTTGAAATAGTTTTGATTGTTTCTTATTTAGTGAGATTATAGGTACAAATATTAAAGAAGCACATACATTCTATCATAAAGCATTGTGGAATGTACAAAATTTCTGAATAACATTATTGTCTAAATAAAAGGTCTATATCATGTGTTCTTGGGCATTTTTTTCACTTCTTTAAGCTTTATAGATTTGTTTATAGATTTGTTTAGAATGTCAAATTTACATTTTTATTAACAATAATAACTTTATATAATCAAGTTTTTAAAATACCTATTTGTAGTGCATGACGATGAAAGTGGGTATATGATTCTATGCATTATATTGCTTTAAATTGCACTATTTTAGTGTTGATTTAACTAATGATATGTTGATTAACTTTGTGGTTTCTAAATCCATATTAAACACTAATCATATTCATTTATTTTTTTAATGTTTCAAATCAAACATAGTTATGCTTGTTGACAATGATGTTAGATTTTTTTTTAATAATAAAAATTATAACTTTCTAACATAGTACAATTGTTTTTTGATAACTACTATATGAAAAATGGTGTGAAACAATTTGCATGGGGAACTCATTTTGATGGCAATAGGTCGTCTGGTGTCGAGAGTGATTAAATGTGTAATTTATAACCTACGATGTTGATTATGTTGGGCTTTCTATGTATTTATACATTAAGAGCAACTCCAACCATTCCACTAAAAATATTATTAAATTTGTGTATTTTTAACATTAATTTTTTTTTTCTCCAACCACACATTAAAAATTTATACTAAAAATATTTTTTCATATTATAATATAAAATAAAATAATTATTAAAGTTGTAAATGTTATAAACCTAACTAAAATAATATTAAACAATTCAAAAAGTAGTTGTTTTTGTGTGAGTAATAATATTACGACCACTATATTTCAGATACCAAAGTCCGTTACCCGAATTTTTGGATATGAGAAAAAAAAAGGGAAAATTACTCTTGAGGGTAATCAACTTTTGCGTTTGTACTCATTTGGTCCATTTTTTTTTTGTATTCAATATACCATCGAACTTGTTGTTGGTGTTTACCATAGCCCTTTTGACCGACTTTTGACCTGTGATAGCCGGTCAAAGGGTTATGGTGAACACAAACAACAAGTTCGATGGTATAATGAGTACAAAAAAAAAGAAAAAAAGAAAGGGACCAAATGAGAACAAACGCGACAGTTGGTTACCCTCCTGATTCATTTTCCCTTTACTCATTTACAACAAATCCCACATCATCTCCTACTGATATTAATGATTTTATGAGATTCATTCTTGCTTCTCTTCAAAACACAATCTACGAAAGGACATTATTCATACATGTACAACTTTGTAATGCACTTGAATATTTATTAGGAGAATCTTGACTAAGCAGGCGCATTTCATGACTACATTTACATTTTCAATCAAATGATTTATCGTATCATGGATTCTAGACAAGTCTACAAACGAGTGGAATCACAAGTGCTATGATTTTTGAGTTTACTTAGCTTTAAGATCGAACTCATGGGATAAGATACAACATCAATATGTACAATATTATGGTAATGTGTCTACAAAAGCAGCATGATATTGTACATATTGATGTTGTATCTTATCCCATGAGTTCGATCTTAAAGCTAAGTAAACTCAAAAATCACAGCACTTGTGATTCCACTCGTTTGTAGATTTGTCTAGAATCCATGATACGATAAATTATTTGATTGCAAATGTAAATGTAGTCATTAAATGCGCCTACTTAGTCAAGATTCCCCTAATAAATATTCAAGTGCATTACAAAGTTGTACATGTATGAATAATGTCCTTTCGTAGGTTATGTTTTTGAAGAGAAGCAAGAATGAATCTCATAAAATCATTAATATCAGTAGGAGATGATGTGGGATTTGTTGTAAATGAGTAAAGGGAAAATAAATCAGGAGGGTAACCAACTGTTGCGTTTGTTCTCATTTGGTCCCTTTTTTTTTTTTTGTACTCAATATACCATCGAACTTGTTGTTTGTGTTCACCATAACCCTTTGACCGGCTATCACAGGTCAAAAGCCGGTCAAAAGGGCTATGGTAAACACCAACAACAAGTTCGATGATATATTGAATACAAAAAAAGAAAAAGAATCAAATGAGTACAAACACAAAAGTTAATTACCCTCAAGAGTCATTTTCCCAAAAAAAAAAAAAAAAAAAAACCATTTTTGATCCTTATTTTTTACATTTTTTTTTTGGGAAATTTTACATATTTTAAATATTTTCTATTTCAAGGATACAGGCCCACCACCGAGTTAGGCTATTAACGTTCGCGTTCAAGAAAAAATGTTCGCGTTCAATACTACTGTAAGATCTAGGGTTACTTTTCCAAATCGCGTTTCCTGCAAAATTGAGTCCAAGATATCTGAAAATCGAGTTCAACACTTATGATAAACCTAGGCTAACTTTGGCGAATCACTTCAATACTTCGACCTTATATCCAATCTGTGGTTCCGAAATCGAGTACTAGGTATCGTACTATTTCGTTCCGGACATACTGTCATGCGAAATCTTATTCATTTTCCCTCTGAATCAGTTCAATCTTCATTGTTTATACTTTCTATGCTGATTATTAGTTTGTCTGTATCAGATTTTTTGTAACAAATTACTCTTTTGTTTATATTAGATAATCATATTAGGGCACGAATATCTCAAATTTTGAACTAACTGTATGATACGCTATCTTCCTAGCTGTTCTGACTTCTGGTCATGAAGAGAAGTTATCAGCAATCATCATCCTCGGGTTCCTTTGGACCTCCCAAATCCAAATCCAGACACAATCCAGATGGTATTATTCCATCCTTCATGTATCCGGTTTCATTATATTCATATCCTACTTCAATTCGATTTCAATTACACACTTCTTTATCCTTTTCCCCTATCAATATTTGATTAAGAAAAACACTAAGCTAAGTGTTTCGACCTAAATGTGATATTTCTCAGGTGATTCCTTTTTGGAGGATGAAAGCACAAAGATCTTTGCCAAAAAAGTTGCAGACCATTACAGTGCAAGAACAAACCAAACATTGGAAGAACGAGAAGCAAGTCCCATTATTCATTTAAAGAAACTCAATAACTGGGTGTGTAGAACTATAAATACAGCATTACATTGATGCATATAGTATATATATATATATTCTCATTATTTATTGATATTATATTCTTTGCAAAATGTAGATCAAAAGTGTTCTAATTCAACTATATGCAAAGAGGGGGGATGCAGTTCTTGATCTTGCCTGTGGTAAGGTACTATAGGTATCATACACTTAATCGATTTCCTAAATATGTTCATTAATAACTAAATTAAAATTCAAAACTTTATTCTTGATTTTTTTTTCTTAAAATTAGGGTGGTGATTTGATCAAATGGGACAAGGCAAAAATCGGATACTATGTTGGCATTGACATAGCAGATGGCTCTGTAAGTTTCTTGCAATCTACACATTCGTTTAATAATCATGAAACTATTTATTATTATTATTTTGTTAAAAAGATTTGAATTTTATAAAATTATACAGATAGAAGATTGTCGCACCCGTTACAATGGTGATGCAGATCATCATCAACGCCGTAAAAAATTCACCTTTCCTGCTCGACTTTTAAGTGGAGATTGTTTTGAGGTCAATACTGTAATTTTTTTAAACATGTTATTTAAAATCTTTTTGTTGTGTAAAAACTAAAAACTGAAAAAACAGTGTGATGCTTAATTGCTTATAATATATATATGAACTGCTTTCAGGTACAATTGGATAAAGCCTTAGCTGATGATGCACCTTTTGATTTATGTAGTTGTCAGGTGAGTTAGTTTTTTATAAAATCAGTATTTTTTTTTTATTTATTTATATTATTTACTGAAGTAAATTAATTAAAAATATTTTTTGTAGTTTGCTATGCATTATTCATGGTCTACTGAGGCACGTGCCAGAAGAGCATTGGCTAATGTTTCATCATTACTTCGTCCAGGAGGAATATTTATTGGAACAATGCCTGATGCTAATGTTATAGTAAAAAAACTAAGAGCAGGTTACTTTTTATTTTTTTTTTAAAAATTAATTTTTTTTATTTTAGCCTTTGTTTTCGTTCTTAACAAATTCAATTTTTTTTTTTTTTTTTTGGTTTATTATGAACAGCTGATGGATTGGCTTTTGGAAATAGTGTTTACTGGATTCACTTTGATGATGAATTCTCAGAGAAGGTGAGTTTTCAGTTTCTTTTATTTACTAATCTTCTCATTTATTTATTTATTTTTAAACAATCTCAATGATTTCTTGTATTATTTTTTTCAGAAATTTAAGTCCTCAAGTCCCTTTGGCATTAAGTATAAATTCCATCTTGAGGTATGTTCTGGTATAAATTTTTGATTAAGTTATGTAGAAACATAAAAAATATAAAAAAAAATTAACAATTTTTTTTTTTTTTTGTTGCAGGATGCTGTTGATTGTCCAGAGTGGATTGTCCCATTTCATGTGTTTAAATCGCTTGCAGAAGAGGTAATAAGTGGTTTATTTATTTTTTTGTAATAAAAAATTTCATAATTGGTCCCTGTGGTTTGCAAAAAGTCATGCTGCTGGTCCCTATGGTTTCGAAAATTGCATGAATGACCCTTGGACCAAATTTGAAAATTTTGTCTACCTCAAGGATCAATTCTCAAAATTTGAAATTATATATACACCACACATTATTTTTTTTTCATTTATTTTATTTAATTTTTCAACAATTTGATAAATTTTTTTAACCTTTTTTACCTTTTGTTTTCTATTATTTTTTTTTATGATTTTAGTTATATATGAATTTTCTGATGTTTTTATTTATTTTGATTCAAGTAAATGAACTTAAATTTGAGAAACCATGTCGGAATCATTTTTTCTTTAATTTTTCTTTTCTGTGAATTGAACAGGTAATGTTTTTTTTTTTAATTTTTTTTTTTTTTTTAATTTTTAATTTTTTTAATTTAATTTTATTTATTTATTTATTTTTTAACTCTATACTCTTAAGGTTCGAATTTTTTTCGTACTTTTTTTTTTAATTTAAAATAATAATTAGGTTAAGGTTTATATTGAATTGTGTGTTTCAAAAATTTTCCATAGTAATATATTCTAATAAATTCATACATTTTACACTTTTTTTTAAAAATTTTTTGTTCATATTTTTTTAAAGTTTTTTGTATTGTTTTTTAACCTTTATTTTATTTTTTTAATTTCAATTCAAGTAAATAAAAAAGTTATATTTATATTTGTAATTTCCGTCCAACTTTTTTTCTTTATATTTTTTCTTATTTAATGGCTATTATATTTATGTTACGACAAATTAAAATTAAAAAAAAAAAAATCAAACACTTTGTTTAATGAGAATTAAAAAATCAGACTCTATGATTAGTTTAATTATATTTTTCAATACTTCGAATTCAGATCCGGACCAAATTGGACCAAGAACCGAATAATCAGGAATTGATTTATTTGGAAATAGAAAAAGGTCAAACAATTAAAATTATAAAAACATTAGAAAATCCATAAATAATTAAAATTATAAAAAATAGAAAAACAAAAGGTCAAAAAGGTAAATGAAAATTTCCAGCCTTGGTCCAAGGGCACTTTGGTCATTTAGAAAAAACTAACTACTCAAAAGTTAAAGTTAACACCAGAAGAACCGTTCATACGGTTTTCGAAACCATATTGACCAGCGGTGTGACTTTTTTCTTAAACGACCTCAAAGTGCAATATTTAGCAAACCATAGGGACCAATTATGAAAATTTGCCTAAAAAATTTAATTTTGTACATGAGAATTTATTTACCTTAATAATTGCTTTGAAATCTCAGTATGATTTGGAGCTTGTTTTTGTGAAGAATTCACACGCATTTGTTCATGAGTACATGAAAAAACCCGAATTTATAGAACTCATGAGAAGACTCGGTGCCTTGGGTGATGGAAACCAAGACCAAAGTAAGTGTTGTCTGAATAAATAAATGTTTTTTTTGGCTTAATCCATTAAGTCATTATGTGGAGATTAAGTAAACAATGAATGTTTTTCGTAGCTACACTTTCACCAGATGAATGGGAGGTAGCTTATCTATATTTGGCATATGTCTTAAGGAAGGTAAATAACATTTATTTATTTTCAACTTTCAACTTTCAACACATAAAAAATACATGTATTTTATTTATATAAAAAAAAAGGAGTTAAATCTGGATTTGTGATTTATTTATGTTGGAGTATAGCGAGGTCAACCAGGACAAAACAGAGGAAATACACGAAGAGACAAAGGGAAGATGCATCTAGAAAAGGAAGACATAACGTATATCAGAAGCTGATTTAATTGAAAACAGGTGTTAAGTTTTGTAAAATAATTAAAAATTATATTTTCTTCTTTTTTCTTTTTGGCTTTAAAATAGAAAGCCTTTGTTACACAACATGATTTCATAGAATTTCACGTTCTGTATAATTTTGTATTCTATCAGTTGCTAAATTTAGTTATTTTTATGCTTAAACAATTCTTCAACTTGTTTTTTCTTTGTGGATATTTATTTATCAAGTAATTATGTGACAAGTTAGTAATTTATTTATAGAACTAGGTTTAAGGTCCGTGTATTTCTTGGGTTGATTAAAAAAAATTAAATATAAAGTGTAAACAATAAGATTTTTTTTTTTTAAAATAAAATTTTGAAATAAAGAATAAATAAAATGTATTATTTGCAATTTACTATCATATATATATATATATATATATATATATATATATATATATATATATATATATATATATATATATAGTGGCCTTTTTATTTTAAGAATTGAAAAAAAATCAAAAATTGATATATGAATAATATTTATTTCAAAAATATTACAAAATAACAAGTATTAAAATTCATAAGATTGAGATAGCAAAATGAAATTTTATTTATTATAGTAGATAAGTTACTTTAGGATTTTTTTTGGAGTTAGATAGAATATTGGTTAAAGAGTGGGGAAATATGGAGTATTTTTTTGAAAAATAATTAAAATTTATCAATCAAATTGGTAATTTAAGGTTTTAAGGAGGCATTTAAAGGATGAAAAGAATCTATTAGGGTTTATTTTTCACAATTTTCAACAAAGAGAGCAGAAGTAGAGGGTAGTAATTTTGGAAAAGCAAGAGAATAAATTATTATTGATTTTATGATGTTTGCATCTATAAATATGAGGGAATCTATTAAATGTAAAATTTCTCATTAGTGTGGTAAACATTATGAGATAAACCCAGGGTTTGGGTTTGGTTGTTTGCAAGAGCGACATTAAACAATTTAGGGTTTTATCATGTGAAAATATTATAGTGGAAAGTGGCCTTGTTAAACGACAAGGTGAATACATAGTAATTTTCACACTCTTATAAAATTACGTATTTTTCTATGACACATGTGCATTCTTATATACTATGCTTATATAAGTCTATTTGCTAATGTGGTGTCATTCACGATTGTGAAATGATGTATTTATATTCGATTCATATGTTAAGAGTTTCTATCACATGATCATATCATATATACATGATAGATCACATTCATGGGGGTATAGATGTGTTGATTCTAGCATGGTCCAAACATTTGATGTGAGGTGTTGGTTATTTTGACGACACTTTTGGTTCATTGTTATGCACTACATCATAGTATGTAACATATAATCTTTTAGTGATATTGATATTTTATTATGAGTCTAACCGTGTTTGTTTTACTAAACCTATGAGCCTAATATATTATATTGATGTTAAGCAGTGTTGTAAAAATTGGTTTAGGCAACCGACTAGGTGTTTGACGATCTGTTACTGATTAAGATTAGTGGTAATCTGTCACATTAACCAGACTCCGTTAAAGTCGGTTGAAAATCGATATAGGTGGTAAAAAAGTCAAAATTGCCAAAAAAGTCAAAATTAATGGAAAGTCAAATAACTTTTATTTTGAGTGTATTAAAATTATTATGGACTTATTGTATAATGATCATGACTTAAGTATTTAAACACTTGAATATATATATATATATATATATATATATATATATATATATATATATATATATATATACTCCTTTCAATTTAGAATATTGGATTAGTATTCACATAGTTTGATATTCGATTATTATCGATTTTTACAATCAAATTTAGTTTGAATGAAGTTAGAGACAATTTATGAGTTTTGTGGAAAGACCCTTGGATGATATTTTAGATATATATTTGGGGTTTGGAAGATAGCTTGACATTTGTTTTTCGATTATTGGTTAGACATCACTTTTTGATAAACATATTGATGCAAAAGAAAATATTTTAAATATTTAGGATTTTTTACTCATATTTCAAAGAATTTATCTTTTTACAAAGTATAATGTTAATCTCAAACAAACCCAAAAAACAAGATAAAACATATCAAAACAAAACAAGAAATGAATAAATGCATGAACGTCGACTGGTAACTGTCATGAATAAAATTGGAAAACGACAGAAGAAGACAAACAAAGAGGAAGCACATATTTTTCTTTTAGGCATTTAATCAAACATCTTATCTGCATTTTACTATCGTACTGCAGTTGCTTTAACTGAAGACCCTGTAACATTGTCGCTCTTCCTTTTTTCGGGGGAGAATTATTTGCCCATATCCTGTTTTGATTTGTTCGTTGTTTCTTGATTTGTCCCCATCATTATCTTCTGTTGCTTCCATTTCTCTGTACGTTTTGTTCCCTCCATGAATTTGTTTCATGTTCAAGAGAATGCCACGTTTTTTGGGTACAGTGTGATGTCCCTTTTGTCATAAAAGAGGAGGCTTTAAGTTTTTCTTCCATACCCATTTCAAATTTCGCATATCAAATCATCAAAAAGAGAGGGTGAAAAGAAAAGCTCCTTTACCCATACCATTCAAAACCATTCCATGTTGATATTGTTTTTAGGTATATATATATATATATATATATATATATATATATATATATATATATATATATATATATATATATATATATATATATATATATATAGGTTTAGGTTCATTTGAAACCATACTAATTTTGTGAGACCGTGAGACCAAATCTAAAAATAATTTTAAAATGCAAAATAAATGGAAAAATCCAAAATTTTTTTTTAAATATTATTTTCGGAACTTCAATTAACTAAAAAAAAATAAAAAAAATCCCGTTTTTTTTTTTTTTTGAAAAATACGTGAAATATTCTAAATAGAATATTACACTGACATATTCTAAAAAATAATTTTAAAATGCAAAATAAATGGAAAAATCTAAAAATTCTTTTTTTAAATATTATTTTCGGAACTTGAATTAACTAAAAAAAATAAAAAAAATCCTATTTTTTTGAAAAATACGTGAAATATTCTAAATAGAATATTACACTGTACATATTCTAAAAATAATTTTAAAATGCAAAATAAATGGAAAAATAAAAAATTCTTTTTTTAAATATTATTTTCGGAACTTGAATTAACTAAAAAAAATTAAAAAAATAAAAAGAAATTAAAAAATGTGTCTCACGGTCTCACAAAATTAAGCCGTCTCACATGAACCTAACCATATATATATATATATATATATATATATATATATATATATATATATATATATATATATATATATATATATATATATATATATATATATATATATATATCTGATTTTTGATACAAAATAACCATAAATTTTGTATTGAGCCAACTGCTATACACTGTTAACTATCATTTTCATGCACGGATTTTATTTCCAAAATCTCTCTCAACTTAAAATTATGATTTTTTTTTTCATGTAAATACATTTTGAAGATTCCCAACCAAAAAAAATGTCAGAAAGGAAAATTTCAATAAAAAGTATGAATTTTGTATTTTATTAATTAAAAAAAATATATTTTTTTATAGGAAATTGATGACCACTTTATATATAAATGAACAAAGATGACTATATTAATATAGTCCTCCATTTTGACTACTTTTGTTGTTTTCTTTATATATTGAAATTAAAACAGATTTAAATATGTTTAAGCTCTTGTTTGGTTTTTAATTTTGTAAAATTGATATTGTTTTCCTTAGTAAGTTAAGTAGTGTGACGACTTTAAGATGTTTGTTTTTTGGAAACGAAAACGGTACACCACATTTGTAACCTTTTGTTGTAGAAAAGGTGTACCAAACGCTTCTAGCATATAATAACAAGTTTGTTTGTTTTTTTAACATTTACAAACTGTTGCATTAAATTGAAATTAACTATATAATAGTTAAAAATAAATCTAAATAAAAAATTTATTTAGTTTAATCATATGCAAATCAAATATAAAGATCATTATGATGATATTATTTTTAAAGATGTTTATCTAAAAAACTTAAACATAAAATACCAAATAACAATCAATTAAATTGTTAATTTAGCTAAAAACATGTTATTTTTGTTAAAATTTTCAAGACAATGATTATTTTTCCGGTTAATTTTAATAAATTTGATAATTTTAATGATTAACTTTATAATTTATTAATATCTGGTTATAGACAATATATCACAACAAATATTTATATGAAATATACCAAACGGTTTGGAAATTATGTAAAATATATTCCTATTGTTCATAATATTCTTAAGATATTATTAAAATAATAAACATGCTTAAAAAGAAATTAAAACAAATCTAAGTTGAATAATATAATTTAAAGTAAGTGAGAAGTGGTTTGAAGATGATGGTTCATTGTTGTGCAACACAACACACGCACAATAATTTTTAAATTTGTAGTCTTTCAAAAAACAAACAATTGCGAAATGCCAAATGTTGCGCGGTGCAACAAGAAGTGATCAATAATGGTTTTTCTGAAAAAACAGACATCACCTAATTCTAATTCTAAAAGAGAAAAGGTTTGGCGTTTTCATTCGTTAAGTGCTACCAATTTTCTGTAGTCCACCCCAAACATGGACCTAGTATTTAATGACATAATTGTTTTCACGAATATAAGTATCTAAAACAATAGTGTAACGTCCGTGTTTATAGGCTAAACATTAATTTAATGGTGTAATAGTTAGGATCAACACTTATAACCTACTTTGAAGTAATAAATAGGAATTATTTGAATATTATGTGATTTTATGTGCCTTATATTTAATTATAAGATATAATAAATTAAGAATAAAAATAAACATCAAAAATAAAATAATAGATAGGTCCAATATCTATGAAGAAAGTTGTAGTGGTCGGGACAAGGATTCTGGAGATATAAAGAACGCTAAAATCCGAGTTATAACGAAGAAGATATGATCTGTCGAAGTTTCGCGTCAAAACCGGCACGACACTGGGAAACATAAAAAGTTAGTTTATGATAAACTACTTTTTATCCTTAGGAGTCTAAATGAAAGTTGTAGAGTACGTCTCCACCTACGCGTCGATATAAAGAACGTAAAAAATGGAGTTCGTATGCAAAAGTTATGGCCTTCCGAAGATTCAGCTTTCAGAAACCCTATGCTAACTAAATTCACGACGTGAGATTTATGACACTCA